TTTTACGTTCGATATTTATATTTTAAAATCAACTCATTTGGAAACGGTAAGCATGGTCTTCATTTGTGCTAGTCTTTTGAGTGTTTGATGGCCAATTCTAACTAGAAATGAAGTTCAAAATTCATGTACTTCTTAAATCACTAGTTTCCATTCCCATCCAGTGAACCACCATAGAGATTTAGATTGGGGATTTGTTGCAATTTGATTCCAGATAAGTGCGTCTTGTATTTGCTTTTAACTTTATCTTTTCATGAAGGTTCACATCAAGCATGGGTTGTAATCCCCACTTTTCCCTTTGTCTCTGCCTCTTAAGTTGTTGATTGTCTACAGAAGACAGGATCTTGTATGTTATTGATGTATTTCTTTCCTCCCTTCAGATTATGTGTTGCTAATTTAAGTTCTTTTTTGTTTCTTTTGATAAGACTGAGACAGAAGATGGTGAAGAGGAGTCTAAAGGCCCAGATTCTGAAAGTGATGAGGTTTTAGATTTATCCAAGATCACAAAGACGAGGCTTATTCCTTCAGATGCTGGCCAATGTGTGTATATTTCAGAGCTTGTCTGTTTAGATTCTTTCTGTACTGGTATTCTTGCTGTTTAACTGTGGATGCTGACTTTTCTCTTGATTTCTTCCTTAATGGTGGACACTTTGTTTCAGATATTCTCCGTGTGTGCCAAGCTGAATCCTGATCCTATTGAAGGTGGGTCTCTCTACACGGTATGGAGATTGAAGATTATTGAAAAATGAGAACTTCTTTAGGTGTTTTATGGTGTGCTTACCTTTTTATTTCATGACAATGTACTGTTTTTGTTTTTTCTTGATGAGCTAATTCCACTCTAGCAAGCCCTAGTCAGTTTAAGTAATATAATGATGAAAATATAGTATCGTCCCACAGTAGACTAATTAAGTACCAAAATTAATGAATTCTAATTTTATTTGAACAATTGAAATTAAATGATTTGAATAAATTAAATAACTAAACTAATTAAAGAAAAACTAAATTAACTTTGAATAACACTAAGAATTAAAAGTCTAAAGCATCCGACTTTACCATAATCAACTAATATAGAACCAAGGTATTTATTATTCATGTGACAGCAAGATTTCCTATTTTATTCAATATACTTTCTCAAGTTATACCAAACCTATCTTCACCTATTAACCCATTATATCTCTATGTGAATTTAAATAGATAAAGATGCATTATGTTCTATAAAATTCCCTAATTTACGTAGAAAATTAAGTCCACAAATCACATTGGTTCATCTCTAGTTTTCATTCAATGCATATATTACTAGAAGCTATTGTATAAAATCTCCTCTCGGTCTTAATTATGCTCTCCAAATCAGTTTTAATGGTGGCCAATCATTAAAAAGCATTAAGAACAATAATATATATTTTACATAAAATAATAATCCTTGAAAGTATAAAAATCATGAAATTTTATATCAAATTGATTAGGCTACATCGTAGCCTTAAATGGCTAAATTAGTTCTTACTAAACATGATAAAATTTGAGATTAAATTGATGAACCACAATTCCATATCCAAACAAAGGAAAAAGTAAGTGTAGAAGAGCAAAAACCCAATTTGCGGAACACTAGAATTAGATTCGTAGCCTTCGCTGTCGCGCTTGTCCTCTTCTTCAACTTAAATCCCCTGTGGCTGCCCTTAGTCCCCTTGTCACCCATGCAGCAATCCCCCTTGCTTTTGCCTTGTAGGTCCTTTTCGTCTCTCCGTCGGCTGCCTCTTTGATTTCTGCCGTCACCTGCTCGGAAGTCTTGCTTGGTCCGCCTCCAAAATCCCCCCTCTTGGTTTTGCGACCTCCTCCCTTTTTATATCCAACAATGTGCCCTTCTTTAGAAAGCCCATCTCATCTCCACAATGAGATAAAGCCCACAATGCTGTGCCACGTGTATGCAGGAAGAAAAATTCAATTCTGGTCTTCGAATGGGGAAATAATGGAATCAGACTTGATGTTTTCAACTTTTTTCACTTCAGCCCATTTACTCTCGATTTCTTTGGTTTTACCCTCTGCCTACAAAGAATGATAAAAGCAATGTAAAATCAAATAAAATCGTTCCAATAAAATATAAAAGACTACAATTCATGACTAAAAAGCCATGTATAATTGTATGAAATTTAAGCCCATCACTTCTACTTTTTAGAAGATGAAGAGGGAGAAGGTTGGGTTTTCAGTGTTGATCAGATGGTAGATGAGGCTAGAGGTATGTCTTGCCTAATGACTATTCTTCTTTTCTTGATGTTTGTTCATATTCTATCCTTTTAGTGACCGATCAATATTTCCAGGAAATGAAGATTCTGAATGAGATTTCTCCCACAATCCAGTGCACTCTATTGGTCAGTCAAATGGCAATCATGACCTTGCTCATTCAGTGCTTCAGGTGGGCTGCTAACATGTTTGTGGTTCTCAAATATGATTGTGCT